GTATATATATATAGAGATAGATAGATAGATAGATAGATAGATAGATAGATAGATAGATAGATAGATAGATATATAGATAGATATATATAATTACACACACAATCTCATAAGAATCTCTAGACTGTGAATTGACTCAACCCCATTCTGGCTCACTTGGTTCTGTTCTTTTGCAGATATGATTTTGCTATGTTCTATCACCCAGGAGCTAGAAATATTAACAGTGATGTTCTGTTCCTTGAAGGAAGATGTGGAGCCTGGACCAGACTATATATAATTGATCTGTCCCCAATCCTACCTTCAGCAGCAGTGTGACTAAATAAAATTGCATACGAAAAACTTTGTATGCAATGACTTTGGCAGAAAATCCTGTGTTTTGTTTGTTCTTGCAAGCTGGCTGCTGGGGTCTTGCGATTGACTTTGTCACTGACAATCCAGTTTCCAGGGTTTTTCTCTGCCATTTGGGTCATCGTGGACCATTTCTCAAAAATGACTTGCAATAAATAGTCTTTCAATAACTCCTAAATTGTCCCCAATTTTCTTTGAAGAAGTTTGCTGGCTGCTTAGTCTTCCCTCTCATATTGTTTGTTAGGGGAGTGCAGGTCACTTCATGTTTTGGAGGGTTCTCTGTCATCTTCCTTAGATACATTGGGATTAGTTGACTGCATACCACCTGTAATTTAACATGATTAGACAGAGATTGGCCACAACAATCACGTCTGTGACTCCTAGTGACTCCTACTGCTAGAACTAACCTGCAACAGCTTTGGAAAGAGGTTCTGATAACTCTTTAGTGCACCATGGATCATTACAGGAAAGAGTCTGATGAAAAGCATACATTTACTCCACAATTTTGTGCTGAGGATAAGGTTTGGCTCTCTACCAAGTACATCCCTCTAAAGGTGCCCATATACCTTACAATTATCTGCAGATTTTCTGTGGTCAGATGGAAAAATTGCAACAGATTGGCCCAGGTGGAGATTACTCCATCCACACAGTTAAGTTTAGATGGAGGAATCTGTTGCACCTTTTCCATCTGACCACAGAAAATCTGCAGATAATTGTAATGTGTATGGCCAGCTTAAGAATGCCTTCCTTGGAGGGATGAAGAAGTTTTCTCTTTTTTTTTCCTCCATTGGTCCCTTCACTATGTTGGCTCAAATTAACTCAGTCACATAAACTGTAACAATGAACTTTTATGTTGTAGAGATCTGAGAGAGGGAGTGGTGGAATAGATTATCCCAGTGGGCTGGGCTGACAACACTAGGTCCATAAAAATGTGTGTTGTCAGCCGAAATAAATACAGTCTTGAGTAGCCCCAGAGTGAATTTCAGGCAGATCAGCAGGTATTTTTCTGTATTTGCAGGGGTTAATGGGATAAAACACAAAGAAATGTGCATGTATTACAGAGATGTACTGCATACTTTTTGTTTGCTTGTTTTTTTTTTTGTCTTGACATATGCTTAACCACCTCCCAGCTGGCTGTTGTAAAAAAACGGCCGGCCGGGAGCTCTCTGGATCTGAGCGGACATTTTTAAACGGCCGCTCGGCCACGCCCATTTGCGAGCCGGAAAGTGTCCAAATTTAAAAACAGACAGCGATGCCTATTTACATACAAGTGATCCGCTGGCTATAGAGCCGGCGGATCGCTTGTATGAGGTGCCGGTATGTGCGGCTCCCCCCTCCCGCTGGTCTGAGGCTCTGCTGTGCCCGGTGCGACCCCGTGACCAGCATGGTGGCTCTCTGACAGGGGATCAGAGTGAGATCGCTACACGACCTCCCTCTGGTCTCCTCTCCGCTGTCAGAATCCGGAAGTGATGTATATTGCATCACTTCCGCATTCTTGTGTCACTCTCAGATCTCTGCTTCATCAGCTTCTTTGGGGGTCCGTAGGTGACGTTAGGGGTCTTGGAGACCCTACTTGTCCCTCATGGAAATCTACTTGTCCCTCATGGAAATCTACTTGTCCCTCATGGAAATCTACTTGTCCTGATGCAAAAAAAGATTTTTTTTTTAAAACCAAAACCGTATTTAGCAGTGCCAAGAAGAGCTTCACATTGGTCAGTGCCATCAGGTAACTGCACTGACCAACGAGTGCTTGAATTTTGCAAGCGAAATTCAGAATACATGGCACAGGTACAGATAGTACACCCATACTGGCGGATGGGAAGGACCGTTCGCTGAAAGGTAAGTATAGTGGGGGGTGAGGGGACCAGAATTGTCCGGGTAATTCCATTTTACCCTTTGGGGTGAGTGCAGACTTGGGCGACCGTGTGTGGTTGCCACACGGCCCCCTTAGACAATATAACTAGATATATAACAATATTTCCACTATATAATTTGTGGATGAGCTTACCCAAGTGTTTGGGCCGCCCACTAGCTCACGTTAAACGTTTGTTGGATTAATTTCGCCACTAAAGGAGTCACCTTTTATCTATGTTATTTACGGTATAGTGGAGGATTAAATCTCCATCTGCTTACCGACACATTATATAATATAAAAAATGAGCACACACACAAGTTGCTACACCAATCACTGACTCAAAGTAAAGCGTACACAAGTTTATTTATTTATATTTATTATATATTTATCACTAGTAATCACAAATATTGATTTATGTTAATTATTTTAAATTTAATTACTCAAGCAAACATAATTGATCACATTATTATTGTTATTACATAGTATTTATATAGCGCCAACAGTTTGCGCAGCACTTTACAATGTAAGGAAGAAATTACAATTACAATACAATTCAAGACAGGATGGTAAGGAGGGCCCTGCCCCTGAGGGCTCACAATCTAAAAGGGAGGGGCCTGTGATACATGAGGAGGTAGCTGTGTGGGGATGAATGTGATGGTTCAGTGGTTAGGTTGAGGAGGGATAGGCTTCCCTGAAGAGATGAGTCTTCAGGGAACGCCTAAAGACAGTCAGGGTGGGAGATAGACGGACAGGTTGGGGTAAAGAGTTCCAGAGGATGGGAGAGACTCTAGAGAAGTCCTTGAGGCGAGTATGGGAGGAGTAGACTAGGGAGCTGGAAAGCAGGAGGTCTAGGGAAGAGGGGAGTGGACGGTTAGGGTGATATTTTGAGACAAGGTCTGAGATATATCCGGGGGCAGAGTTGTGGATGGCTTTATAAGTGACTGTTAATATTTTGAATTTTATCCTCTGGGCGAGTGGAAGCCAGTGCAGGGATTGGCAGAGGGGGGTTCCAGACACATACACAGGATGATGTATAATTTATTAGATTAGTAAACACCAAGCGCAACATATTAGTTATATTGTCTATGGTCTTTAACATACATTGTTGCAGCTGGTGACTATTCACAATATATTTCTCCTAGCGCAACTATTCGTTTATTTGTTTCACACGGCCCCCTTGATTTCAATAGGGTTACATCCACGTGGTAAATCGCTGAAAAAAGGTACATGTATCTTTTTTTGCGACACACACCGTGCTGTGCTTTCAACCGCGAGCCCATGCAATTTCATGGGCGTTATTGCGGCGGGAAACTGCACAATCTGCCTGGCGCGACTGGAGTGCCATTTAGACAATAATGGCACTTCCAGCACGATCGGCGGTGATGTGCGATTCTAAGACCGCTCGGCCATGCCCCATGCATGCAGTTATTCGCATGCAGATGATAGGGGTTGGTTTAAATTTTTTAGATTTTATTCTACTTTTTTTATTTTTGCTTTGTAATATTTGTTATTTTTATCATTTATTTTTATTATTTTTTTTACTTTTATCGCCTTTTTTATTTTTCCCATTTTTATGTATTTATATTTTTAATTGTTATATATTTTATCTTTTTTTTTTATTATTCACTTGACTTTATTGCTATCACACAATGGGTAACCAGCCCCTATGTAATAGCTTTTGGAGGTGACAGGTTCTCTTTATTGACCCTGTCACCTCCAACACAGGAGTTCTAGCACAGCACTGTGCTCATTCTCCTGTGACAGGAAGATTGAATTCCTGTGTCACTATTCACACGGAGCAAAGCTGAGAAGCGCTCTCTGCTCTGCTCCGTGCTCTCTAACCTAATTTGCTGTGGTCACGGATCCCCCACAAGAGGGGGGGCCTCGAAGACCACGGCAAAAAGGAAGCCCGCATGCAGAGAGGGAGGCAGCCGGGAACGGTACACGGCCGGCCAGCCACCTGAGAGAGAGGAGGGGGGGAGGGGAGACCAGGGGAGCGTGATTCAGGCAGGTTACAAGTGATTTTGTACAGCCATTTAAAATCACTTGTACAAAACGGCTCACACACTACATTTAGCCGGCTGCTTGCCCGCAGCCGGGCTAAATGTAGAAAAAAAACACTTGCCCGGCGCCCGAAACTGCCTGTCCCGGGCGTGGGGCGATAGGAATTCCACACCCCTGTATATAACCAAAAGGAAAAGGGTTAATCAAGTGTAAAAGGAGCAGACACTTGTAACACTGTGAACTGTCTTAATGGACGGAGGAGCAGCAGCAGCAGCGGAGGTACAAGGGGGATTTCAGATTAATCAGTCGCAGTCTCTTCTCCCCTCTCGTACTGCCTACAGCGGTCTGTGAAAGGGACACACACCTCCAACACAGGAACCAGCAGGGAGAAGAGACTGCGGGCGGTGACTCTGAAATCCCCAGCTGCTCCCCCCCCCCCCCTTGTACCTCCGCTGCCAGCAACTAATCGAAAATCAACTAATCGATGATGGGAATAGTTGCCAACTATTCTCATTATCGATTTTAATTGAGTTAATCAATTAGTTGTTGCAGCTCTATGCTCGGCAATCGCAGCTCTATGCTTGGCAATCACTCCCTCACTTGTACACCTCTAGGCCCCATCTCCATAGACTTTGAAAAGAAGTATGAAGTGGATGATATATCGGACTCTGTATCCAGAGGAAAATTTTAGTACCTGGTAAATTTGAAGGGTTATGGTCCTGAGGAAAATACTTGCGTTCTAGGGATGCACCAATACTGGGCATTTTCACCAGTACTCGTACAAAAGTCGGGCAGATGGATACAGATATACTGGTGCAGCAGTGGCGTAACAACCGGGGGGGGGCACTTGCCCCTCGCGCAGGACTGAGGGGGGGCGCCGTCACGACCCCCGCTAAACGAAGCCATGACACGATCACCCGGCTGTCATCGGGCGGCCGCTTGCTCTTCCGAGGCCACTGCGAGCGGGCCTCTACAGTGCCTGATTGGAGGGCGCGTCTGCCTGATCCAGCCAGCCCGGTGTTACAGGATAACACAAGCCTGTAAAACTGTGTTAGCCAGGTAGACAACATTTCTCTGGTCTAAAACACTTCAAAATAAAAACAATACATACACACTCCAGATGATCTTAGAGCCCACTCTACTAGCACCATGTCTGCTTTCTGGACACGGGCAGCCCAAGCTTTCACATTTTTGCCAGATGTTACCAATTGGATGCAACACAGGAAATTGAACTAGTTTTATCTTCAGCATCCCTCCCATAGGTAAATATCTCATGTAGTGTGCTATTATGGAACATAGAGCAAAACAGACATTCTGCTCACTGGTAACAATGTTTCTTCTTAGTAAACATGTCCAAAATGTTACCTGATTGTATTTACTGAGGTACACAGGTAGAAATTAAAATGCCTGTTCCTCTTGTAGTGTGCGGTCATAGAGACTACATGGAAACATTGGGAGGAGGATATTTTTGCTTGGAAGGAGCAATTTTTACTTTGGGGTGCCTGCTGAGTAAGTAGAGGATTTTCATCATATGATGTCACATTTGGCTGTTTTGTGCCTGCATATTGTTGCGGATTGTAATGATTGCCCATTTTTCTTGATGTGTTTTGGAGCCATTCACCACCATTCACGCACTGCTGGTGAGCCCTTGAATTTATTTTTTATTTTATTTTTTATATTTTCATGTTTTTATCTATGCAATGTTCAGTTGGTCTTCACTGTCTCAATTTCATTTCTGGATGTTTATTAGTATTCGTTTAATTTCATAATGATTACAGAAAATTAAATTAAATTTTGACTGGAGCAGGTATGCCACTGATTGGAAACTGAACAAAAAAAATTATCTCTGGATTTGGACAACACGTACATTTAGTGTGTAAGTAATGTTAAAAATTATGTTTGTAAATTTGTGTTCCTTGTATTTTTTTCTCCCCCCCCCCCAGAATCCTTTGGACAGAACTACCCAGAGGTGAGCATATGTTTCTTACTATGCATGTTTCACATCAGTTGTACCTTTGTATGTCTCTATATTATAATAAAATGATGATTAAGCAGGTACAATATTTTCCCTAATCATCTTCCAGGACAGCAACCTTAGATGATTGGTTCACCTTCTACAGGAAACACAATTAGTAAAATAGGTAAAAGCCCCTGCCCTTCCCCTCGTACCTCAGTTTAGATTGTTTCCTACTATCCAGGACCACGTCACGTTTGTTCTTTTCTTCCTGACCGGTTGGCCTGCAGGTCACGGATCCCCCTCAGTGCAGCTCTACTGTTAAAGGCATTTTTCCTCCCTTCTGGCCTTGCTGTAGAGCGGAGGGGTTTTCCCCCCTATATTTTTTGACAAGCCAGGATCTGGTTCCTTTCCTCCCTTAAGAATACAGTCCTGAGGCCCCCAGGCATGTGGCCCTGTCCTGCTTTCCCTTGCTTGATGTAAGGGAGCTTGTAGCGTGGCTCCGGAGCGGCGCCTAGCATGCTGGAGCAGCGTCTCAGGCGGGCAGTGGACTTAGAGGCACTTCCGGTGTGTTCCAAGCCTTGACTTGGAACGCATGACGTCACTTCCGGTCGCGAGCGATTACCTCACTTCTGGTCACGGCTGATTGCCTCGCTTCCGCTATGCGCTCTCTGCTGTTGGGTGTGTTGGAGGCTGCTTGGAGCTGTAGAGCCCGGATACCAGGACAGACTGTGGGGGAAAAGACCGCTAACGCTGCCCGAGGGAGGAGGAAGGCAAGCCTGCGGTGGCTGTCCCTGAGGGTAAAGGGGTGAGTGAGGCTGCTTACTCTTGCCTATTTCACTATTACCTGGGACACTTTGTGATTTATGCCGTGGGGTATTGTACACTTATCTGACTTCATTTTGCTATGCAGGATTCTTCAGAAAGAGTGTCTCCTCAGTGTTCTGTTCCACTGCCTGCCCCAGCTATTACGCTAACTAAGAAACGCTGTGGCAGCTGCAATCTGAAGCTTCCCTCTGGTTATTCTAAGCCTAGTTGTGATTTATGCCTATAAAAATGATTAGCCTCTGAATCTACTAATCTTATGAAGGGTTTTCTAGATTGTATGAAGACAGACATGGTGGCTACAGTTCAATCTTTTAAGAGTGCCATGGCTGATATGTTGCCTTCCACATCTAGTGCTCCTATGTGGACAAGGTCCAGTCTTCCTAGTATGTCAGGGGTACATCAGAAACCAGTCTCTTTCACTGAGGTTTTGGATAGAGCGGTGTCAGATTCTGACTCTGGGTCAGAGAGTTATCTGGAGGAGGACGAAACCATTGAGGAGTCTACTGAGTCTAGGCATCTTTTTCCTTTAGAGGATATGGATTACTTGCTTCAGGCCATACACACTACTGGTTTTTGGCTATAACAGACAGCCCCACACGATTTGTCTACCGGAGCACGTTGGCCCGATGTCTTTATCGATACTTCCTATGCCGTCACTCTTCTAAGTATAGAATGTTCATTCATTCGTGCAAAGAAAAAGGTCCTTCATAGTGCAGTAATTTCCAGGAGTTTATTCGAAAATAAAATATCAATTACAATAAAAACACGTCCGGCCGGTTTAACAACAATCAAGTTTGGTATGGTAGACCCGCCCCTACGCGTTTCGTCACCACCGACGTCCTCAGGGGAGCATGCAGGTCGAGACCTAGAGTCTTTCTAGAGTCTTTAGCGGTTCTAAGTAGAGCAGTAGCTTATCTTGAGATGCTTCTGCAGAGTCAGTTAGAGCAGGTGTAAGATCTACGGCTTTGCTTAACTCAGCCAGACGAGCTATCTGGTTGAAATCCTGGGAGGGTGACTTAACCTTTAAATCCTTCCCTTTTGAGGGAGTTTTTATGTTTGGTTCTGGATTAGATGAGGTCTTGACCAGATCCTCTGAGAAGGGGAAGAAATTCCCAGAAAAGAAAAAGAGAATTCGCAATCAGAGGTTTTTTCGCTCCCCAGAGGAACAGAGGAAGCAACCTAATAAGCCCCAGGCCCAGCGGAGAACCTGGCCTTTTAATAAAAATAAAGTTAAGGGAGGCCTGCTTTTTTCAAGCCCAGCCACCCCTAACAAGGATTCTAAATGATGCCAGCAAGAAAGTGGGGGGAAGGCTTTCCATATTTGTGCCACAATGGGAGAATATTTCAAAGAATCGTTACGTTTTACATCTCCTAGAAAGGGGATATCGCCTAGAGTTTTTATCCCTTTCCCCCACAAAATGTTTTCCCACAAAATGTTTTCCTAACAAAATTTCGAAAGGATCACATGAAGGCCCAAGCCCTAGAGGAGTGCATCCAAACTCTTGCTTCACAGAACGTCATTGTACCGGTCCCAGCAGAGCAGCAATTTCAGGGTTTTTATTCCCATGTATTTCTAGTTCCAAAACTAGGAGACAAGTTCAGGATGATCCTAAATCTGAAGAAGTTAAACAAGTTTTTAGTGTTCAAGCACTTTCGTATGGAAAACATTTAATCAGTACGAAAGACGCTTCAAATTTCAGTGTTTATGATCACCCTGGACCTGAAGGATGCGTATCTGCATATACCTATATGTCTGGAACACCAGATATAACTTCGATTTGCTGTGGACACAGGGCAGGGAGTAATGCATTGGAAGTTTCGAGCCCTCCCCTTTGGTCTGTCGGCGGCCCAAAGAATTTTCACGAACGTTTTGGCAGAGCCAGTGTTTTTTTTGTTTTTTTTGTGCCAGCAAGGCATATTCCTGATCCCATACCTACACGACCTCCTTATTTACGCCCACTCACAGGAAGAAGTATTGGCAAGTCTGAAAAAAGTCAGGGACCTGTGAGAATTCCTGGGGTGGATAGTAAACTGGGAAAAGTCCTGTTTAACCCAGACTCAATCAATTGTATTTTTGGGATACAGAATTAATTCTGTATCTCAGAGACTTTTTCTTACAGAAGAAAAAGTCCTCAAGATTTTGGAGTTGACTCGATCTGCACACAAAACAGATTTAACACTGAGGGAGATCATGAGGCTGTTAGGCATAATGACCTCATCCATCCCAGCACTGGATTGGGTCCAGTTTCATATGGGACCCCTGCAGATGTTCCTATTATGCCTACGGGACAGGTAGAGGGAGTCTCTGGAAAGAAGTACAAATTCCGGAGGAGTCTCGTTTTTTCCTAGAGTGGTGGATGTCTCCAGACAGACTGAGAAAGAGCAGGCTGTGGAGTCGGGTAGATCCAGTAAGGATTACCACGGACGCAAGCTCCTGGGGTTGGGGGGCGCATGCTCAGAGTCTTCAGGCACAGGGGTACTGATCCCAAAAGTTGGCAACGTCATCCTCAAATGTGAGGGAACTTGCTGCAGTAAGGGAAGCCTTGGTAGCCTTTCAGGTAGTGTTGGAAAATCAACATTTTACAGATATTTTCAGACAATTCAACAGTGGCTTACCTGAATCAGGGGGTGCAAAATCGCAACCCCTGTTGAAAATAACTCAGGAGATTTTTCTGTGGGCAGAGCCGAGAGTGCTTTCCATCTCGGCGGTTCACATAAGAGGGGTTCACAACGTTACTGCAGATTTTCTAAGCAGCAGTCCCATACGACGGAATGAATGGGAATTACACCCGGAGGTATTTGCACAGATTGTCCAATTATGGGCTCAGCCAGAGATAGATTTATTTGCTACCAAAGAAAACCGAAAGATTCAGGAGTTCTTCTCTTTGAGCAGGAAACAAGGCTCCAGGGAAGTGGGTGCGCTGGCACAGGACTGGACCTTCAGCCTGGGTTATGCGTTCCCTCCTCTGGTCCTGATTCCTCAGGTTTTGCAGAAGTTAAGATCAGCTTGTGCTCTCATTCTGTTGACACCCTTTTGCCCAAAGGAGAACATGGTTCTCAGAGCTACTGGCAAGATCAATCCAGACCCAGTGGACCCTTCTTCAGGGCCCAATCTTGCATCCAAACCCAGATTTTTGCGCTTGACGGCCTGGCTCTTGAGAGGAGGATCTTGAGGGGGAAGGGTTGTTCAGAAAAGGTAATCAACACTCTTTTATCTAGTAGAAAATTTATGGAAAGGTCTGGAAAGTGTTCTCGACCTGGTGTATGGACAGGAATGTTGCTTCCCCATCAATACCCCTTATTTTAGAATTCTTACAAGAAGGGGTTGAAAAAGGATTAGCCCTAAGTACCCTTAGGGTACAAATGTCAGCCCTTTCTGTATTTTTGCAGTGTAGATTGCTAAAAGAACCTCTAGTTAAAAGGTTTTTGTTGGCAACAGAACGTTCGTTCTTACCCTGTTAGATCAAAGTTATTTCCTCCCTGGGATTTATCTTTGATCATTTCTGGTTTGACCAAATCTCCATTTGAACCTATATCAGGGGTGCTTTTTAAAAGGCTGTCCCTTTTTAAGATCGTATTTCTTTTAGCAATTACCTCAGCCAGAAGAGTGGGAGACCTTCAGGCCCTATCGATCAAGGACCCATACTTTACGCTCTCTGTGAGGATAGTTATTTTGAGACCAGATCCCTTGTATCTTCCAAAAGTTCATCCCAGTTTCATAGGTCCCAGAAAATTGTCTTGGTTTCATTTTGTGATGACCCAAAAGATCAGAGGGAGATAATATTTCACACTCTAGATGTTAGACGGTGTCTCATTGAATACTTGGAGGCAACAAGGCATTTCAGAAAGTCTAGCCATTGGTTGGTTTTGTTTTTTGCTCCAAGAAAAGGTTTGCAGGCCTTTGTTGCCAGGTGGATCAGACAGGTCATTGCCTGGATTTATATGTCTGAGGGAAAAGAGTTACCTCTTTTCAGTTCGAGCCAATTCGACCAGGTCATTGTCCACTTACTGGGCAGGAAGAGCTGGGCCATCGGTGGAACAAATCTGCAGGGCAGCTATCTGGTCAAAGCAGGACACTTTTATCAAACACTACAGAATTGAAGTCCTGTCCCAGATCTGGCCTTTTGGCAGAAAGGTGCTTCAAACAATTGTCCCGCCCTAAAGGGGTAGGCTTGTATTTTATGTAC